CGGGGCGGAGCCCAGCCTGTCACTGCTGCTCTTGGTGGTCTCTTGGTGCCCCACACAGGCTAGAAAGTGTACAACTGCCCAACCTCACAGCGTGTCACAGGTGTGGGGACACATGAGTTCTACACAGCTCAGTACACTCAGTACACTCAACAGTGTCCCGTGTCCTGTGTGCCCGACCTCAAAAACACGAGAGGGGTTTCACACACACACACACATACGCACACACACACATATTTTGTTTTGGCTATAGGGCATGTATGCTCGCCAGAGAGAGGGAACATGAGAAATACCTGCCCTCCAGGGGGGATGGCCATGCCGTCACCCCCTTCTCCCCCTTTCTCCTTTCAGGATTTTGGGCACACATGCACAGGAATGATTTTCAAGCCACTGGGTCCAGGACTCAAACCGTGGTTGCCCATGTGGGAGTCTAGCCCCTTAGTCATCATGCCGCCTCTAAAAATTTACAGAGGCCCCTGGCCCCTCTACAACAGTTCACAAACAGAGCAGTGCACGCACCATACGCAAGGCCTTGGTCTCGACTTACCTCTCCACATGGGGAAATGGCCTGGGGAACGCTGAGCATGGAGTCTATACGCTGCCGTCGGCGCAAGGCCCGTCTGTAGCTGGCAGCCTTCACAGCTGCTCCCCCTCCCAGGAGGCGGCCACTCAGCTCAGTGCTGGCTGCAGGTGGGACCTGGCTGGGGCGGTCAGAAATCAAGTCCTCTGCACAGCTCCCAGTCCTGCCACAGGGGACACCCCTGGCTGTCCTGTCTTGGCCAATGCAAGCAGCAGCACTGGGGGGCTCCAGCCCACCCGAGGGGCAAGGAGGGTGTCGCCCTCCCTGCAGCTGTAACCACACCTTGGGCTCAGTCTTGGCGGTTAAGGGACCTGGAGTTTCTGATGTGGGATGAAACTTCCGGAAAGCAGAGCGCAGCCCCTTCCCACCACGTTCCCGAGCAGGACAATCTGGGCTACATGATGCCTCTTTTGGGCCTTTTGATTTTTTGTCTTTAACCATGAGGGAGTGCAGGAGAGCACACATGGAAGTGAGCACGGGCAAGAGGATAGGGCCCGGCAGTCTGTCCCACCGTGATCCTGGCCCCTGGCACAGCGGGTCTCGGGCACTTGAATGTGTCCTTGCTCCCGAGCACCTGGGCACGCGCGCGCGCACACACACACACACACACACACACACACACACACACCCCATCTCCTAGCAGGTCACTGCGGAGGGCTCATTCCGTTTCTGGCAGTGCTGGCTGCCCGAGGCCAGGCCAGAGGGATCTTGTCATTTCTGGGGTAAGCAGTGGTCAGCTGGTCCCCAGGGTGGTGACGGTAATGCTTATGGCTTGGGCTTCGTGTTAAGATGTCTGAGCAGCAGCCAGCACTCCCCCTCCAGGCAGTCCATGCCTCTCCGGGGAAGGGGAGGAATATAGCTCTTACACAGTCCTGGCGAAGGCTGCAGCGGGCGCCATGGGATGCAGGGCTGCTGCCCGAGCTGGCAGTGTGCGGAAACACGCCCAGCTGTAGCTAAGGGTGGCATGTGACGTGAAACTGGTACACGGAATCTTTCTTTTGAGAGCTTTTTGTTTTAGGGCATGTGTGCTCACCAGAAAGAGACACAGAGGCAGTGAGAGGGAAAGTGAAAAATCACACCCCTGGGGGGAAGGCCACAGAAATCCCTTCTCCTCCACTCTCCTCTCGGGATCTTGGGCACACACGTACATGCACGCCACCTGAGTTTTAAGCCACTGGGTCCGGGACTCGAACCGTGCTTGGCCATGTGGGAGCGCAGTGACGTAACCACTGGGACACTGACGTTTAGGTTTTGGGGATGGGGCTTACATGATCAATAATGGCAAGTGACACCAGGAAAGCACTATTTATAATTCCAACACCAAGAAAACAAACGAGCTCTCTCCTTCCTTCCTCCTTCCCACTCACGACAGGGTAGTGGGATGACACACCCTCCGCAGGACTCGGCGAGGTCTCCCAGGATCCCGGGCCTGCACCCACACCCGGCCTACGTGAGGACACAGGTCAGGGGCCTGATGAGGCCGGCACGCCCTCCAGCTCTGCAAGAGATCCGCCGCTGACTGGGCGCAGGGCTCTTCTTACAGGTGAGGTAGAGGAGAGTAATAGCCAGCAGGCACATGGTTTGAAAAGTATATAACAGATTTTATTTATTTACAATCAAGTTCTATTGGGCGACACAAATAAATAAGATAGGCCCACCCTGGCTGTGAATTTCAACTCCCCTTAACACGAGTTCTCTGAACAGCAAACCACAAAGGGGAACCGCAGGTGGGGAAGGGGAAGAGGAAGAGCAGAGACAACGCCCTGTCGGAGGAAGGGCTGCCTCAGCCCTCTTGCACCAGCTGACACTCATGTCCCCAGCTGTCCAGAAACAAGTGTGGAAGAAAAGCAATAAAGTGCAAAATAAAAAGTGATAAAAACATTGGTGTTTCAGAAACCCAGGCAGGACAGCCAGAACGTGGGATCTGGTCAAACGGTAAAGACGACCGTTCTGCGTGGCCTCCGTTGCTACCCCTGCAGCGGGAAGACAGCGCTGTGCTCCCTGGATGGGGCACCCCACACTGCAGCACTTACGTGGTGTGACAAAGGGGCCATGGAGTCTGCAGCCACGGGCTCCAGAGCGCTGTGTTCGAGGTCTCCCACCCTCACCTCCCGCCAGCACAGGAACAGGTGTGCCCCTGCCTCTGGGCACCTGCAGACCCACACTGGAACCGCCCTCACCTCTGCAGCAAACCCTTCTCTGGAAAAGCCTTTCACTTCCTCTCCTATGCAAGACAACTTTAAAACCAAATAGAAGCTAATTTCTTGACCAAAAATAGATACGTGGAACTGCTGGAAGAAGTGGGAGCCAGAACAGCTGAAGCCCTAAGGAGGTTTCAGCAGAAATCAGACATGTCAGAGGACAGAGGCCTGTGCAGGACCACGGCTCACCAGGGAGCGCGGGTCCCCCTCAGTCAGGTCAGGCAAGCTCATGGGCATGGACCCCACAGTGGCAGGACATGCATTAGGCCAGAGCCAACTTTGGAAGGGCAGGAGAAAGCAAAAGGGACCAACACCTGATATGTGGGGTGCTTTTGGCACTGCCGCTCAGGGAGGGGGCCCAGAGGGGTCCCCGTGTTCACCCTAGTGAGGTATGGAAGATCAGAGCTAGTAGTGTTTACTGCTCGGGTCAAGGCAAGACCCCAAGCCTCTGCTGAGAGCCCGCAGCGCAAGATTTTCGGTGATCTTCCAGGCCACTAGAACCCTCGGTCCAAGTCCTCAGAGATCCTGTGAGCACAAAGGCCATGGTCCACAGGGTTCGCTGCCTCCCCAGGGGTCGTGGCGCAGGAGGCCTTGCTCCTCCTGAGGAGGGTCAGTGCTGTGCCCACAGCACGGCTTTGCTGCCTTTGTCCACGCTGACCACGTGCAAGCCAGACGGGGACCAGGCCACCGCGTTGATCGACGAGCTTCAAGGAAAGAGAGGGGCAGCGTCAGGTTTCCCAGCACTCGGGTTGAGAGCTCAGTAACTTCGCCCAGACAGCGCACACAGGGAGGCGGGCACACCCACTCCCGGCAGGCATCTGAGAAGGAACCTGCAAAGCTGCGCCGCATCACTGAGCAGTGCTCAAGGGGCAGAGTCAGGCTCCTTCTGCAGCTGGGCCCTGGCATGGTCACTCAGAGTAGGGGAGGACCAGAGACCTCACACGCCTCTGAAGTCAGCAACGAGGACACCACTGTCCCTGGCCTACTGGCAGGAGGGCTGTGTGGACAGTGCAAACTGAGGGGCCTGGGGCTGCTGGCAGCTGAGATGCAAGAAAGGGACATGAAGATCGGCACTGAGAACAAGTCTCCCTACTTTTTTCTTTTTAGAGAGATTTTTGCTATAAGGTGCATGTGCTAGCCAGAGAGGCAGACAGAAAGCAAGAAATCACCCCTCAGAGGGGATGGCCATGCTGCAATGCCTTCTCCTCTGTTCTCCTCTTGGGATCTTGGGCACGCAGACGTGCCTGGCATGAGGTATAAGCCACGGGTCCCAAACTCAAACCACAGTCAACTATGTAGGAGTCCAGTGACATAATTGTTATGTCATCGGCTTGGCCCTCCTGACCTTTAAGGGAGGAAGAGGAGAGAAGGACAAGAAGTCATGGTGGTGTGTGCACTCACACGTGTGCTATGTTCGTGTCTGCCAGGGCGTGTGCTGCTCTAACCCTCTCTGGCTACTACTCTGACTGCTCCACCTGGAGCATCTGTAACGACCACTGTCTGCTGTACGATGAGGCCCCGCTAAGCGGTACTGCCTCCCGGGGTCGGCCAGGTCTAAGCCTGAGGTCTTACCCCCGCGGTGAAGTCAAAGGCCCCGCTCCCGACTTTGGTGGGGCTGGCAGGGCTGGCAGGGCCCACCTTACCTGTGCTGCTTTGAAAGCACCTTCTCCACCTTCCCAGTGAGCATGCTCCAGACATAGAGGGAGCCCTCGGCCGAGCCTGCTGCCACGTAACTACCATCGGGGCTAGGGAAGACAGGGAGGGAAGAAAAACCATCGACTCCTCCCAGCTCAGCATCCTTAGGGCCCTCTCCCTGCGAAGTCACGCTTGATCTTCAGCTGTGAGGCAAACACGCGACAGTCTTGTGTACCCAGATGGCAGACCTGAGCTGCCTGGGATGTCACGGTCACCCTGCTCTGCCTGGCCCCAGCCTCGTCCAGCTGATGAAGGATGAAGCCACATGACCCCCATTGCTCCAAGGCCTGACCCTTCCACCAGACCCAAACACTGCTGAGAGCTCAAGGCCCGCTCCCGAAATCGAAGAGCTCAGCCTGCCCACGTGACAAGGGCCGCCTGCTCCCGTGGTTTGCCACAGCAGGAAGGAAACAGGAAGCACCCGAGGTGGAGACGCTTCCCCACACACGGGACCTGATCCGGGAAATATGTCTGAGTGGTGCGGCACATGCGTGAGGGAGGAGGGGAAACCATGGGCCTTCTCGGAGCCCCTTCTCCCAGAGCCTCTTCCTGTCCCCTGGTCTGCAAGTCCTTCTCCCTCCCCAAGTGCCTGCTGGCTCCATGGTAAGCGGGCGGGGAGCAGCTGGTGGGCTCACCAGGACACGTAGGCAGCCAGCCTTCATGCCGGGGCACCACACACGTGTGCTCATGCAGTCACAGTGGGGACCTCAGCAAGGGCAGGACGTGGATGGTGGCCTCTATCATGACCGTCCAGGCGCACTCCTGGACACCCAGCTAGAGACACCAGACACACTTAGCTCCACCCCATGACCCCAGTGGGAAGGAAAGTTCAGAGAGTGACAAGTTGGGGGCTGGGGGCAGGGGGAAGGGGCGCCACGAACCTGAAGACAACTCTGGTCCAATCAGAGCCACACTTGAACCCAGGTGCACTGAAACCAACAATAGGGCACGATTACTACAGCTCGCCCTCCGGGGACACACGGAGCAGGCCAGGGCCTCCGGTCTCACACAGCCCTCAGGAAACCATGCCCTCCGTCACCTGAACGTCTGCTTGATGGCATTTGTTCGCAGATCAATCACTTTCAGCAGGTCATCCCGGGAGCAGGTCAGCAGCTCAGTCCTTTCTGGGTTCAAGTCCAGTGCAGTGATCTTCCCCAACAGCTCCATCTCTCGGACTATACTCTCTGACCTGAGAGAGAAGGAAAAGCCTGAGAACTGCAACACAGAAAGCTCCGTTTCCTTTAGTATGTGGTCCACAGAGGACAAAAAGGGCCATGCGAATAACTAGAAGGCAACCTCTTCAAGGGCAGCATGTGTACTCCCTGGCCTAGACTTCGGTTTCCTATCAACCGATCCTAAGGCTGTAGTGTCGAGGGACCAGCAGGTGGCATGGTGGTTAGAGGTGTTGGATTCCCATATGGCCGACCATGGTTCGAGTCCTGAACCTGGTGGCTTGCTTTCTCACTTTCCCTTTCTCTCTCTCTCTGGCTAAATTAAAAAATAACAAGGGGACCAGCAGGCGGCGTGGACATTCCAGACCACTCTGGCGTGGTGGCTAAGGCCCTGGACACTCCCACATGCCCGACCATGGTTCAAGTCCTGGACCTGGTGGCTTGCTTTCTCACTTCCCTTTTTTTCTCCCTCTCTCTGGTCAAATTAAAATTAATGAATGAATGGATAAAATTGAATAAAATAATTCTTTAAAAATAAATAACAACAAACTGACTTAAATATTTAAACAAACAAAACATGCTGGGTGTGTGTGCGTGCATGCCCAGAATCACAAGATGAGAAGGGGCTGCAGGTGGCCATCCTCCCTGGGGAGTGACTTTTCACTTTCCTTTTCTGTCTTCCTGGTGAGCGCACATGCCCTACAGCAAAAACCATTAATAATGGTAGTTTCAGGGGCGGCAAGTGACATGGCGACTAAGGTGCTGGATTCCCAAATGGCTGACCGTGGTTTGAGTCTAGACCTCATGGCTTGCTTTCTCACCTTCTCCTTTCCTTGGTCAAATTAAAAAATGAATAATGATGACAAATAATTTAAATAAAGAAATAATGAGAAAAAAAAACGGTAGTTTTGTGTGTTAGAATCTGCTTATGCATAGCACTATGGTTTCATCCTGGATAAGGCTGGCACGGAAATGTGCTTCGTGGGCCGGGGGCCCCCACAGACCAGGTACTCTTGTGGGTCTCCTCGGTTGCTCAGGCCAGCTCTGGGCCCTCGGCTTCTGCAGTCACTTGAGAAGTAGGACCAAGGACCCCAAAGGGAGAGTCCCTGCTCTATCGACTCCCCTTCTCCGCACCCTCCTGGGCACTGTCCGCCCTCCATCTGGCTGCAGCCGTCCCAGAGGGCTCTGTGGCCGGCACTCAGAGCCAAGGGAGGTGTCCCCTTCTGCTGTGAATTTGTCTTTTGAGAGTTTTTTAATTTTATTATTTTTTGCTATAGGGTGCATGCACTCGCCAGAAAGACAGAGACAGAGAGACAGAAAGCAAGAAATCACCCCCCAGGGGGGATGGCCATGCCGCATCCCTTCTCCTCCATTCTCCTCTTGGGATCCTGGGCACACACACACACACACACGCCCAGCCTGAGTTCAAGCCACAATGCAATGGTTCAAGGACCAAGTCACCTGGAAACGGCTGCCCTGAGCCCAACCTGCCCTGTTCGTCTCACTGGCTTGTGCTCCTCCTGCCCCTGCCCCTGCGACACTGTCACCACAGCAGGCTGCCCTGTGCTGTGGTCTGGAACGTCCTCGAGTGGCTCTCCTACTCTGATGCCTGCCCACCTCTCCAGGTGATCTCGGACCTGGTGTACCTGGTCCTGGCACCGGCACCCAGCCTCCTGGGCCTGTCTTCCCCATGACCACCTAGATCACCTCCGGGTGGAGGAGCACCTTGCGCCTGTGCCTCTGCGTCTCTGGCAGCCACCAAAAGGCCGTGCACAGTGTGTGCTGGTCAGAGCGTGGGACTCAGCAGTCTCCTTTGTGGCAGAGAACGTCAAACCAGAAGGTAAAGGTACACTGGAGCTCGCATCCTGGGATTTGCCAACAACACATGCACACAACGTGGCAGCAGCTGGGCTCCACGCACGCCCTTCTCCTGCTGAGCTGTGTCGTACCGGATATCCCAGAAACGAATCTTCTTGTCAAAATGTCCACTCATCACGCACTGCTCCGTGCAGACGATATCATTGCAACTGGACCCTGCAAACACGGTCTTTATGCCTGAAGGGAAACCAAATGTGGCTGGTCACACAGAGGGGCTGACACGGCTGTGTACACACCACGGCGACACTCTAACTGCAGTCATCACACGACAAATCCACCGTCACTACCCCAGCCCTCGTCCCCGTATTATAAAACCAGACTTAAACTGTATCACACGCCCACAGACTGACACGGAAACAGGCCCCCTCCACAGCTAAGGTCTAAGCACACGCAGAGAGACTGAATCTCCTCACAGACTTTGCTGCGTAGATCCCAGAGTTTGAGGGTCCGGTCGTGACTTCCTGAGACGATGCGTGCGTTGTCCAGCAGGAACTTCGCCGACAGCACTTTCCCACTGTGTCCTGTGAGCGTGTGCTAGGAGAGGACACAGCCAGGGTGAGCCTGGGGCACCACGCTGTGGCCACGGAGCCACGGTGCCCAGCCACGAAATGCAGCAGTCCACCAGGGACGGCGGCATGACACAAGGGCAAAGTGGACAGAAACCTGGGGTGCGAAGTGCTGTCTCAGGGGAGGCCACGCCTCCAGCTTGCATTTTGGCCTGCTGGGTAGTTAGTGGAAACTCCCGGAAAGCCTCTCTTTGGTTACCCAGGCAACTGGTTATCTACACAGAGGCTAAACCGCTTGGTGGAAGTAACACTAAAACAATAAAACCCCAGCATTGTGAGCACCACTTCACAATTCTCCGCGCCCTACCGGGCACTGTCCGCCCTCCATCTGGCTGCAGCCGTCCCAGAGGGCTCTGTGGCCGGCACTCAGAGCCAAGGGAGGTGTCCCCTTCTGCTGTGAATTTGTCTTTTGAGAGTTTTTTAATTTTATTATTTTTTGCTATAGGGTGCATGCACTCGCCAGAAAGACAGAGACAGAGAGACAGAAAGCAAGAAATCACCCCCCAGGGGGGATGGCCATGCCGCATCCCTTCTCCTCCATTCTCCTCTTGGGATCCTGGGCACACACACACACACACACACACACGCCCAGCCTGAGTTCAAGCCACAAGGTCCGGGACTGGAACCGCGGTCGACTACATGGGAGTCCAGCGACAAAGCCATTACACCAACTGCTGGTTCCTGCAGTGATTCTGTCTTAAGAGTTCAATGAATTTACTCCGAGTAACATCCTTACTACGCGAGAGGGTATCTTATTGCTAGATAAGCATGCAATGGTTCAAGGACCAAGTCACCTGGAAACGGCTTCCCTGAGCCCAACCTGCCCTGTTCGTCTCACTGGCTTGTGCTCCTCCTGCCCCTGCCCCTGCGACACTGTCACCACAGCAGGCTGCCCTGTGCTGTGGTCTGGAACGTCCTCGAGTGGCTCTCCTACTCTGATGCCTGCCCACCTCTCCAGGTGATCTCGGACCTGGTGTACCTGGTCCTGGCACCGGCACCCAGCCTCCTGGGCCTGTCTTCCCCATGACCACCTAGATCACCTCCGGGTGGAGGAGCACCTTGCGCCTGTGCCTCTGCGTCTCTGGCAGCCACCAAAAGGCCGTGCACAGTGTGTGCTGGTCAGAGCGTGGGACTCAGCAGTCTCCTTTGTGGCAGAGAACGTCAAACCAGAAGGTAAAGGTACACTGGAGCTCGCATCCTGGGATTTGCCAACAACACATGCACACAACGTGGCAGCAGCTGGGCTCCACGCACGCCCTTCTCCTGCTGAGCTGTGTCGTACCGGATATCCCAGAAACGAATCTTCTTGTCAAAATGTCCACTCATCACGCACTGCTCCGTGCAGACGATATCATTGCAACTGGACCCTGCAAACACGGTCTTTATGCCTGAAGGGAAACCAAATGTGGCTGGTCACACAGAGGGGCTGACACGGCTGTGTACACACCACGGCGACACTCTAACTGCAGTCATCACACGACAAATCCACCGTCACTACCCCAGCCCTCGTCCCCGTATTATAAAACCAGACTTAAACTGTATCACACGCCCACAGACTGACACGGAAACAGGCCCCCTCCACAGCTAAGGTCTAAGCACACGCAGAGAGACTGAATCTCCTCACAGACTTTGCTGCGTAGATCCCAGAGTTTGAGGGTCCGGTCGTGACTTCCTGAGACGATGCGTGCGTTGTCCAGCAGGAACTTCGCCGACAGCACTTTCCCACTGTGTCCTGTGAGCGTGTGCTAGGAGAGGACACAGCCAGGGTGAGCCTGGGGCACCACGCTGTGGCCACGGAGCCACGGTGCCCAGCCACGAAATGCAGCAGTCCACCAGGGACGGCGGCATGACACAAGGGCAAAGTGGACAGAAACCTGGGGTGCGAAGTGCTGTCTCAGGGGAGGCCACGCCTCCAGCTTGCATTTTGGCCTGCTGGGTAGTTAGTGGAAACTCCCGGAAAGCCTCTCTTTGGTTACCCAGGCAACTGGTTATCTACACAGAGGCTAAACCGCTTGGTGGAAGTAACACTAAAACAATAAAACCCCAGCATTGTGAGCACCACTTCACAACCTCCCCCCATTAGCGCTACCCCAGATGCCTGCCTGCCTAACCTTGAAATGTTTTTCTAAGCTTGGTTCATCAAATTAAATCTAAAAAGCTTGGATTTTACCCAGAGCCACTGGAAGTCCCATATTAAAGTTCAATCAGACTAGGTCACCACAGGCATAACTTAAAGGGAACATCAAGACTCTTTATGCGGCACCAACAGTTGGTGTAATGGACATGTCACTGGATTCCCATGTGGCCAACCGCAGTTCAAGTCTCGGACCCGATGGCTTAAACTCACGCTGGGCGTGTGTGCGTGTGTGCCCAAGATCCTGAGGAGAATGGAGAAGGGACTGCAGCGTGGCCATCCCCTGGGGGGTGATTTCTCACTTTCTGTCTCTCAGTCTTTCTGGTGAACACGTGTCCTATAGCAAAAACCTCTCCAAAAAAAAAAAAAAAAAAGGACTATGTGAACAATGGGAAAAATCCAGGGCTTTCTAAGTCTCAGTGTGAAAACGTCAGATCGTAACCTCAGACTCCAGCGCTCCCCACGCTCACACCCTGTGACGGACACGGAATGGGGACATCCTGGCGGCAGCACGGCCTTTTCCCATCACGAGCACTACTGGAGCCAGATGGAGGAGGTGGCTGGGATGGCTGGGGGCAGGGGCAGGTGCAGGGGCCAGACCTCAGACCAGCCCATCACCAACCTCTTCTCGGGGGACTGACATTTGCATACGTGTAAAACCGCAAAGGTTCGGATCGCATTCATGGGTACTTTCTTTTATTTTCTTTTTTTTTTTAAAGGCCACTTTAACAGACCCTAACATACTCACTGTAACGGGTAACTTACTGTCTCAACCCAGACCCCCAAAGATGAGACCTCATACTTCGGTGTCGCGTTATGTGAAAATTTTAGAAACGCCACCTCAGTACAGGAACAGAAAACTTAGGGCCACGTCTACTTATCCTATCTCACGGGAGAACTCTGCATGGGCTCCGAGACTCACTCGTTGCACATCTAAGTCCCTCACACGGGGCAGTCCTTACAGCTGCAGCCAGCCAGGTGTGACCCTCCTGGGAAGACCCAGAGAGCTCGGGAAGAAAGCACACCTAGGCACTACGCCCATCGCTGTAACCATCACACATGCATACCACACAGGCCCACAGAAAATGCTGGAAGGTGCCTGTGCTATGCAAGTTAAATTTTTATAACTATTTCACCAAAAAACGTGAAGTGTGTGTACATGTGCTGTGTCTCGTCCTTACCATGACATCATCACATTTTGCAAGTTCACATCACTCGCAAATGGGTTATGGTTATGAGAGCACGTTCTACCCGTCCGGTACTGGCTAGCTTATCTTCCACACAGCCCTCTCAGGAAAATGGAAAGCCCGAGTCAGGGGCCACGTGTCTCTGAAGACTCTTCAAGCCTACTGCTGGATCATTCCATCAGACCGCCCCCACCTTCCGGCCAGGCCGACACACAGCCCTCAGGTTTCGGTCTCTGTCTCGGATGTCCAAAGACTTCATGGCAAGTCTGGGTTCCAGCACAGACCTGATTCCGATCCCACCCTCCCTTCGCCGACGCCTAGCTCTGCTGCCCAGCCTCAGTCTGTGTTGTTTTAGAACCGTTTTACCTCTTTAACAACATCGGGGTCACCCCGGGGTACTGTCTGAGGTAATTACGCTGCGATCTGTGAAGTTCTGCTAAAACTGTTCTCTACCAAAAGCACTCGGTTATTGTGACCAGGAGTACCCGACTTCGATGCATGCCTGAGAGACCTACTGCAGATGTCCTGAGACGAAACCTCAGACAAAGTGAAAATGAACGTCTCCCCAAGGAGAACGTGAAGGAGCAGAGTGAATCCGAAGTATTATCTTCAGGAAAGCACACATCAGTCCCTCCGGTTAATCGCCGTCATCTTCTGCATGTCAGGCTTAGTTAACCACAGGAAGTTAGAGGTCATACCAACTTTCTTAACTGGGTCTTACCCGTAACCGATAATCATCCACAGTCCAGATTCGGCTTGCAAAATCGTTTGATGCTGCTAGGAGGTAAGATCCCTATTGGTATAAAGGACAGGAAAAACAATTTTTAGCTGAAACAGGAATTCGCTCACATGCTACAAAGCCCCAAGAAGCCACACACTGATCTGGCTGCCCTGAAAGCCAGCTACATCAGCGGAGTGCGGCAACTCCCTGCTCTGCCTCCTGTTCAGATCTTTCTCCTGTGCCCGCTCAGAATTTCACGGTAATGTCTACACACATCAGGCTCAAAATGGCTCACTCAGAGTCAGGAATGTGTGTGCTAATGATTGGCGGATAGGTAGAGGCTGGGGGTGACTGTGCCTCAAGACTCTTTAGGGATGCTCTCTCTCTCTCATAAATAAACTACTGAGTGCTATCACAAGCCTACTGTAAACCAAAACACGAAGGGTGGGCCAGCCCCATGGTGGTTAAGGGAGCGGACTTCATGTGGTAAAAACCATGTGGGTCAACTCCTGGTCATGGCAGCCTGGAAAAAAATCACCAAGCGTGCACATGCGCAGGCCTCAAATCCCAACAGGATGGAGAGATGGAGAAGGGATTGCAGTGCGACATTCCTACAGTGGGAATGCTTTTTTCCTCTCCCCATCTCTGTCTCTCTCTGGTGAGCTCCTGTGCCCTCTGGCAAATAATAATGAAAAAGCCTGGAGTTTATAAAAGCTGAAATATCAATTCATTTTTTTTAAGAGTACTCCATTCTCCTCTCGAGATTTTGAGCATGCATGCACATGCACCTGGCTTGAGTTTTAAGTCGTCAGGTCTGGCACTTGAATTGCAGTTGACTACATGAGTCCAGAGATGCAACCGTTACACTGTCTGCTAGCCCTGAAACATCAATTAATTCTACAATCAATGTGTACATTGCTCTTTGACATGTATTTTACTTTCTCTTTTTAAAGAATTATTTTACTTAACTTTATTTACTTTTAACTCGACCAGAGAAAGTCAGAGAGAGAGAGAGAGAGAGGGCAAGTGAGAAAGGAAGCCGCCAGGTCCAGGAACTGTAGTTGGCCTTATGGAAGCCAAGCACCCTTAACCATCATGCCACCTGCCGGCCCCGATATGTATTTTACTTAAGGCACAGAAAATGGCTAACCACATCACTTGCTGGCCCCACCAGATGCTTTAAATGTGTTTTATTTACTTATTTATTTGTTGTGATTTTTTTCTTCTCTTCTTTTTTTGAGAGGTTTTTGCTATAGTGTGTGTCCAGGAACTTGAAAGACAGAGAGACAGACATTGAGAAATCACCCTCCGGTGGGATGGCCACGCTGCAATCCCTTCTCCTCTATTCTCCCCTTAGGATCTTGGGACACACACTCAAGTGCCTGCTATGAGTTTAAGCTGCCGGGCCTGAGACTTGAACCGTGGTCAACTACATGGGAGTCCAGAGATGTAACTATTAAGCCATTTGCTGGTCCCTTATTGCGATTTTCAAGTTGCGGAATCCAAGACTTGAACTAGACTTGAACTATAGTCAGCCATATGGGGATCTAGCACCTTCACCACCACACTACCTGCTGGCCCCACAGATGTCTTTAATTGCTTCATGTATTTATCTATTTATTTGTTGTAATTTTCAAGTTGCCGGATCCAAGACTGGAGCAGTCAGCTAGGAGGTAAGATCCCTATTGGTATAAAGGACAGGAAAAACAATTTTTAGCTGAAACAGGAATTCGCTCACATGCTACAAAGCCCCAAGAAGCCACACACTGATCTGGCTGCCCTGAAAGCCAGCTACATCAGCGGAGTGCGGCAACTCCCTGCTCTGCCTCCTGTTCAGATCTTTCTCCTGTGCCCGCTCAGAATTTCACGGTAATGTCTACACACATCAGGCTCAAAATGGCTCACTCAGAGTCAGGAATGTGTGTGCTAATGATTGGCGGATAGGTAGAGGCTGGGGGTGACTGTGCCTCAAGACTCTTTAGGGATGCTCTCTCTCTCTCATAAATAAACTACTGAGTGCTATCACAAGCCTACTGTAAACCAAAACACGAAGGGTGGGCCAGCCCCATGGTGGTTAAGGGAGCGGACTTCATGTGGTAAAAACCATGTGGGTCAACTCCTGGTCATGGCAGCCTGGAAAAAAATCACCAAGCGTGCACATGCGCAGGCCTCAAATCCCAACAGGATGGAGAGATGGAGAAGGGATTGCAGTGCGACATTCCTACAGTGGGAATGCTTTTTTCCTCTCCCCATCTCTGTCTCTCTCTGGTGAGCTCCTGTGCCCTCTGGCAAATAATAATGAAAAAGCCTGGAGTTTATAAAAGCTGAAATATCAATTCATTTTTTTTAAGAGTACTCCATTCTCCTCTCGAGATTTTGAGCATGCATGCACATGCACCTGGCTTGAGTTTTAAGTCGTCAGGTCTGGCACTTGAATTGCAGTTGACTACATGAGTCCAGAGATGCAACCGTTACACTGTCTGCTAGCCCTGAAACATCAATTAATTCTACAATCAATGTGTACATTGCTCTTTGACATGTATTTTACTTTCTCTTTTTAAAGAATTATTTTACTTAACTTTATTTACTTTTAACTCGACCAGAGAAAGTCAGAGAGAGAGAGAGAGAGGGCAAGTGAGAAAGGAAGCCGCCAGGTCCAGGAACTGTAGTTGGCCTTATGGAAGCCAAGCACCCTTAACCATCATGCCACCTGCCGGCCCCGATATGTATTTTACTTAAGGCACAGAAAATGGCTAAACACATCACTTGCTGGCCCCACCAGATGCTTTAAATGTGTTTTATTTACTTATTTATTTGTTGTGATTTTTTTCTTCTCTTCTTTTTTTGAGAGGTTTTTGCTATAGTGTGTGTGCACGAACTGGAAAGACAGAGAGACAGACATTGAGAAATCACCCTCCGGTGGGATGGCCACGCTGCAATCCCTTCTCCTCTATTCTCCCCTTAGGATCTTGGGACACACACTCAAGTGCCTGCTATGAGTTTAAGCTGCCGGGCCTGAGACTTGAACCGTGGTCAACTACATGGGAGTCCAGAGATGTAACTATTAAGCCATTTGCTGGTCCCTTATTGCGATTTTCAAGTTGCGGAATCCAAGACTTGAACTAGACTTGAACTATAGTCAGCCATATGGGGATCTAGCACCTTCACCACCACACTACCTGCTGGCCCCACAGATGTCTTTAATTGCTTCATGTATTTATCTATTTATTTGTTGTAATTTTCAAGTTGCCGGATCCAAGACTGGAGCAGTCAGCCGCGTGGGAATCTAGTGCCTTAACCACCATTTCACCTGCCGGCCCCCTTAGACTGTTTTTAATAACTTCTAAAACCAGGGATATTAGGTACTTACAGCACTATCAAATTCAATACTTGTAATTCCTGCATTACTGCCGGAGAGAGCACCCTTGAACTCACATTTGTCTGTGTGAAAAAGAAAGATTGAGAAGACAATAAATTACAGCCAATAAACAGTTACAATGTGGCACAGACTCTAAGAGCAGTCAATTATATTGTGCAACAGCAGCTTTTCTGCACCTTCACAGAGTTCAGAGGTAGCAGGACAAACAATGCAAGACAAAACATACTGATTTCTTTCTTTCTTTTTTTTTTTTTTTTGAGAGGTTTTTGCTACAGGGCACGTAGGCTTGCCAGAAAGACAGAGACAAAGAGACAGAAAAGCGAGAAATCACCCTTCAGGGGGGATGGCCATGCCGCAATCCCTTTTCCATTCCCCTTTTGGGATCTTGGGCATGCACACGCACACACCTGGCATGAGTTTAAGCCACCGAATCTGGGACTAGAACCATGGTCAACTACCTGGGAGTCCAACAACATAGCCATTTATGCCATCTGCTGGTCTCCATACTGCTGATTTCTAAGAACAATGCACTTCTAAAAGTCCATGTAGACCCCAGTATTTTGTGTGTGTTAAGTTTTTAAGAAAAAAAAAAAGTTTATTTAAAAAGTTCTTCTTATAGGGCACGTGTACTCGCCAGAGACAGAGAGATAGAACGGAAAAGTGAGAGAACACCGTGCAGTGGGGTAGGCCACACTGCAATGCCTTCCCCACTTGAAGTGCAGGCCCTTTAACCATCATACTACCTACTGGTCCCAAGGCATCCGAGTTTTTAATTCCATTTACAAAGAGACACGTGTAGAAATTTATAAACCAGGTCAATTGAACTGGAGACCAAGTTTATGTTGTTACAGTACTTCTCAGTAAGTGTTTCTAATTTATTAATACATGGATAAATCTTGGCTTTGCGTTAACTTGTAACTACCACTTCTGTAGAAACGGACCATCAAAATTTCAGAACCCATGGTGTGGTCGTTCTAGGGTCTAAACTGAAGGACTGGCCAAAGCCTGGTGGCTATGGGAGCTGGATTCCACATGGCCAACTGTGTGGTTCAAGCCCTGGACCCAAAGGCTTGAAAAGACGCTCTGTGTTTGTGTGTGCACGCGTGCCCAAAATCCTGAACCCAATCTCAGGTGGGGAGATGGAGAAGGGACTGCAGTGTGACCACTCCCCGGGGAGGTGCTTTCTTCCTCTTCCCCACCCCCTCTAGTGAGCACAAGCACCCTCTGGCAAAAAAAGACAAAGATCTGAAACGAAGTACTCTAGTAATGTTTAAGTGACCAGTCATTAACCTGCCAGAAAAGCTAGTCGGGAGCATCTAGAATCTGCCCGTATACTTTAACCCGCCCAGTGCCAGTGCCCCTCCTCCTGCCCGACCCCCACCAACAGGCCTACGTCCTTTCTCTGGGCAGCTCTGGCCGCCCACGCGGAACCCGCACCATGCAACCACTGGCTGCGGAGAGAAGTCTCAATGTTTCCATACCCTTTTGAAAAGGGCAGCTTAAGGATGACCTAGCCAAACAAGCTAGGAATTTGGGAACTACTGTAACTGAAACCATGAAAGGGCACATCTCAAAAGACGCCTTTTTTTTTTTTTTTTTTTGAAGAGGTTTTTCACTATAGGGCGCATGCGCTCGCCAGACAGACAGAGAGAGACATAGAGACAGAAAGCGAGAAATCACCCCCCAGGGGGGATGGTCACGCTGCAATCCCTTCTCCTCCATTCTCCTCTCGGGATCTTGGGCACGCACGCACATGCGCCCGGCGTGAGTTCTAAGCCACCAGGTCCGGGATGTGAACCGCAGTCGACTACGTGGGAATCCAGTGACATAGCCACTACGCTAACTGCTGGTTCCCCAAAAGACGCCTTTTATCTTCCGCAGTTCTCCTAAGCAGCCACCGCAATGATCAGTACGAGGTGTCAGGATAACAGGGACCCAGGCTCAAAGCTCTCACATACGCGCAGGCCAGGCACCACTGATCTGGTCGGTGGACTCCTCCCCTGAATTCATTCGCAAAATATAGCACCATTAGTACTTACTCCCAAGTCCTCCTGGCGGTCAGCAAATTTTTGGAAAGAGCTGGGAAGACTAACATCTGCTAATCTTGCTTTACAAGAGCTCTTCACAGACAAAACTACTACTGCAAATGCTAGGAAATCTATTTGCCTGGCACTTAACACAGTAGAAATAATCAATAAATGTTATTCAACAGAAGAGATCAATGCTGAAAGAACAAAGACCTTATTAAAGTTCTTTTATCTAGCAGCTACCAAGGGAGGCATGTTAACAGCCCAGATACAGCCAGAAGTTTCCAATGAAGCTTCTGCTTTTGAGAGGATTAACAAGAATAGATGTTCCTGCTGGGTAGAAAACATCATTTTGGTATTTTTAAAGGGTCAACACCCCACCCTCTCAAAAAAAAAAACAAACAAAAAACCCGACAGACTGGAAACGCTATGGATGAACGAATGCTACAATCAGGACCCACTGATGCTATTTGTTCTGCAAAATTATGACAAATGCCCCCAAACTGCCACAGACTCACAAAACCCTCCCAGTGTTACTAAGTTATGCCATGTGTTAATTTCAATAATCCCCCCTCCCTTTTTTTATATTCTGCAGGGCACATGCGCTCAGCAGAGAAAGAGAGGGAAAGTGAGAATTACACTCTGGTGGATGAGCATGCCACGGTCTCTTCTCCTCCACTCTCCTCTTGGGATCTGGGGTGTGCATGCGCACACGCCTAGCATGTTTCCAGCCCCTGGGTGCAGGGCGTGAACTGCAGACTTGGCCATGTGGGATTATCTCACCTGGCTGGCCCACTTATTTACTTTTAAGTAGAAAAAGAGCAACACTATCACTAGAACTGAAGTCAGCATTTCTAATTTTCTTATTGGTGTTACCAAGGAATGTTTCTACCATTATTTCTATTTAATCTCAACGGCTAATCAAAACAAGACAATGTGCTCAGATTATATAAACCAAATCTAAACTTTCTTATGACATAGCTTTATTCTTATTTTAGAACAGCTTCAGCCATAAGTCTTCAAAAGCTAATATTGTATTTCTGGGCAAAACATTTTCATAGGCTTCATCTGACCTAACTGCCAGGGTACTTAACTGTCATTTTCCCGAAGATCAAGGGCCAGGGCGCAAGAGCACAACGTTTTACAATACTCTGTCCTGACCAGAGACTGTGGTTGCTGCTGCTCTGACACACACTGAACGCAGTCACTCCTAGGGCTTATCCGGTGCCTAAAGGCAGGTGGCGGGAAGAGCATGGATCTGAAGCCACGTGACCTAGACCAGTCCCAGCGCCACCACTCACTTGCCATATGCAACGTTTTCCAGTCACCTAAATTGGCTACGCAAAGCACGCAGCGTCTCAGCCCTCTGCCTCCACCTGCTGCGTGGTGACGCCACCTTCCCAACTGCACAGGGCTGCAAGGATCAGAGACCAGCACGCAGAGGCACTGTGGTGCTGTCCCTGGACCGTGATTATGTATGCACTAAAACCATGGAAACCTGAAAAGTGGTTCCTACAGATGTCAACCCAGGCTGCGTCCAGCAGCAGAAGTCTGGGAGGTGGTTTTATCAACTCCCACTTCCTGTTTTAATGCTGTCCTATTTCTGAGTACTCCGGGGTCATTTCTTAAACAAGACCCAGTTAGAGGCTCAGCTTGATTCCAGGGTCCTTGCTGACGAGTTTTTGGCACATACTATAAACTTTTTTTCTAGGTAACACACCTCTATTTTCTCAAGCTCAGGTAGGACTTGGGTCATTTTTTCCTTGGACGCTGTTCCTGCTGCCACCATTACTGAACACATACACAGCAGCTTGATATGTAGTTTAAGTACAGAGTCTCTAATAGCATGTATTAGAGAAAAATTAAAGAATGTTCAATTATATTCATAATCTAACTGTATTTTCTTTTCTGCTTATTTCTTTATCATTATTATTTCAGAGCATATTTTTTGCCTTTGGGCATATATACTCCCCAGAGAGACAATGAGAGGGAAGAAATCACCCCACTAAAGAGGGATTGCCATGCCACAATCCCCTCCTCCATTCTCCTCTCAGGATTTTGAGCATGCACACACACACACACACACACACATGCAGCATGATTTTCAAGTCACTAGGTTTGGGGTT